AATAAAGTGCTCCACCCCTTAGTCAAAAATCCCCCTTGAGGCTGGTGATGCTAAGAGAGAAGTACTTTAAATAATGGTATAAAAAATTTATAAAATACGCAATAACTACGCGTGAATTAGGTGCTTTTTAAGATATACCACTCGCGAATTAAGTGCTCTAACCTTAAGTTTACTAATATTTTAAGGGTTTAATGGTTAGGGTTTTATGACAAGAAATGATAGATAAGCCTTCAAAATAAAAAACCATTAAAAAACATTTTTGATTTAAAAAAATTCACGATGTAGATTTTCTCTAACTTCATGAGATTCATATAAAGGTGAGAAGAAATGTGGATAGGTAGAAAAAATGTTTGAACGAGACTTTTGAATTTTTTTAAATCAAAAATGTTTTTTAATGGTTTTTTATTTTGATTACATTAATTTTGTAAGCTAGTATGAGGAGCATACTGTGGTGTGGGTTTTCAACTAAAGATTGGAGCATTTAATTCGCGAGTGGTATATCTCAAAAGCACCTAATTCTCGCGTAGTTATTGCGTATTTTATAAATTTTTTATGCCATTATTTAAAGTACTTCACTCTTAGCCAACCTCAAGGGTGGATTTTTGACTAAGGGGTAGAGCACTTTATTCGCTAGTGGCATATTTATAAAGCACTTAATTAATACCTATTTTTTGTATATGAATTAATTTTTTATTCCAATTATTTATAGCACTTTTCTCTTGGTACCAATATCGTTGAGGGCTGTTTTTGGACGAAGGGGTGGAGGTACGACTCCGTGAGCTTTGTCATTCAAAAGCACTTAAAAAGCACCTAATTATTGAACTCTTTTGGTTTATTTTGGGTTCTTCTTTTAGCGATATTAGTTGGGTGCGCTGCTAGCTTACGTTAAACTGACAGTACAACTGCATAATTTAAATTTCCGGAAAACGGGAAGAGCACCTAATTTTTAAATAGGGCACCTAATTAGCACCTAAAAAGTACCTAATTCTTATGTTATTGTTTTTTAATTTCGACAATCTTGTTCTGCCAACTTGATAGACGTCCATCTCTGATCTATACAATGTATAGATTACATTTATGCACTCAGTTAATTTTAAAAACACTTGACTTACACCACTATGGTTCTCTCCCTCCCCCCCTCTCTCACACCCTCTCATATAATCCTAAAATACCATACCATACGCGGGTGTCTATTAATAGTTATGTTTATTGTATTTTAAGCGATTAGTGACATATATCTTTGACTTATATTTTTATATTATCGTTAATTGTATACGCTAACATATTATGATATCAATTAATAAGTAATTTGTTTAAAAAAATTCTACTGTGTGTGATTTTCAGAAAGAAAGTCTATAGCAACGCGAAGGATTAATAAACCTCTTAATATGAACAGAAAATAAAAAATGTGAATAATATAAAAATAAATTAAATAATATAATAAAATTTCTTTCTTTTTCCAAATAAAATGGAGAGAACTCAAGTTGGATTTCGGCTCCGAGGAACAGAATCTACAAGCGTAATTTAGGGACGCCGAAAAGCGTCGAAATTATCGACGTTCGCGTTTGTAAAGGAATCTCTGGTATGTCGACTACGCATAGTTGGCTCGAGTTTGCAACTGGTTCGTAATAAAGCGACTACCATCGTACTCTGGAGCGAAGTATCTGCGCGCGTAAACAGTTTCCGTTGAACCAACGAGACGAAATTGTTACTTCGTAATCAGCATCCGGGAGTATCGACGACCGCATCAACTTCTGTTCCAACTTGCGAAACATCGAGCATCGCTCGCGCTTTTCTCGGAATCAATTGAGAGGAAACTTTGTACACGATCGTACTCGTGCGATTGAAAATCGTATCAAGTATTCAAAGATCGTGGAAAATCGCAGGCGATATGACGCCTGGTTTTAATTTAGTTAAATACACGATTATAATGACGAAGTCAACCTAGTAATGATTAAATTCCGTGCTTTCATCGAAACACAAAGCCATCACTGTGTAACTTTAATTAAACTGGAAACATGGTTGAGGGATTATTAACAACCCGAGCTTTGTCGACTTGACAGTTTGATTTGCTTTACGATATTAAACAAAAATTACATTAAAATTAACTTTTGCTCAGAGACAACGAACTAATAAGTTAAATAATTATTTCACTGGCGCGTAAAATATAGAAAAGATTACGGGTGACGGATGATTGGTTTACGGCTGACCCGACTATTTCGACGGCTAAACTTCAAGCGCCGGCAAGACCACAAACTTCCGTTATTTATAGGCCAACCTGAGTCTCTTCTGGGGTGCATTCACCGCACGATCAGAGCTAGATTCCAGTGTTTATTACGATATACCAGAGACGCGCGTATTATTACGCTACGCGAAGAAATTCGCGCAACCGAATTTATTCACGCATGTGTGTCGTATATCGACGCTGACGAAATTAAACCTTTGGATACCGTTCCAAAAGCGACACTCGATATTTCGACCTGAATTTCACAGGGCAGTTAACAAACTATCGTTGTGAGCCGTGAGAGTTCTGTCTGTAAAATTCGCGTCGCGATATAGTTATTGTGATTTTTTTCGGGACATTCTACCTAAAGAAAGATATTTATTCTCTTTTATAAGGTATTGTAAAACAATTTTATTGCTAAAATATTTGATTGATTTTTTAGAAATTTTGTCAATCTCGATGTGTCACGTTTTATTTAAAAGCGCAAATTTCGGTAATGATGACGTTATCTGTGCTTCGTTGGAAAAGCTTTTTCTAGATAGATGACGGAGACGTGTATAAATATAAGCCAGCGTCACGAGATAAATACACACGACATTTTTGCAAATTGTATGCTTTTCGTTATACTGGTGTTTGCTAATTTTATTTGTATTTATGGAATTTTACTACAATATAAAACAATCACATTACAGTGTTCACTTTTATGCATTGTATCGTAAAGTCAAAAGTCATCATAGCTGATAAATTATTCATACTGTTAATACGAAGTGTAAATTATGTAAAGGACACTATTGTTCGATAGTAATTTTGTTATGCGGAAGGTAAAACAATAACAACGCTGTTAAACGATATGATCATGACGGATTATTATATTGGCCTCGAAGGAAGCTAGGGAGTGTTACTACCGTTTATGACACTCGTAGAGGATATGACACTGAATTTAACTCGCTAATAATCTCCGGCCATGGTTGAAACGAACGCAAACATATTGTTTTGTACAAAACGCTTGTAGCGTGTCAATCTGATCCTAATTTCATTTTTTAATGTCCGAATTGCATTTTATAAGATCGCTGAGCAGTATTAATATTCATGTGGTTCTTCAAGAACAAATAATAAAAGAGGCAATAAGAATCAGAAGCGCGGATGCTGGGATGCAAGCAAAAGATGTATTATAAATGAATACATAAAAATTACAAATTTTATAGAATATTTAAAAAAAATATTCCAAAAAATTTTATAATTTGTGTGTTAATTTATGATATTTTTTGTGTTCCAGCATTCGTGTTTCTGATTTATATTGCTCTTTACTTATTTATTAATATTTTTTTATATTTCTTTAAGATTATATTTATCACATTACATTTATTCTGTAAAAGGAGAATTTTAAAAAGAAGAGTTGTCGACTAAACTTTGTTTTGATTAAGAGGGAGACTTTAATCGATAGTTAAAAGCACAAACTAACTGTAAGCTACACTGCTTATTCCGGCAGGAAATTGAAGGAATCCATTTTATTTTAGCGGCGCGTAGGTTGCCTGATTTATATTTTATTCAAAAGGGGTAAAGAATTCTATTTGTTCGTGAGACACTATCCATTTGCAAACAAAGACAATCACCTACGTGTGAAGAAACGTAACTAGCAACGGCACGATATCTTTGGTATCTGCAAAGTTCTCAGGAAGTGAAACTCGTGCTATTTCAGGAATTACGTTGAATACGCTAACACAATGATTGTTATCCTTATTGTTACTATTATCATTATATCATTTTCTACTATTATACCATTTTTTCATCGCGGTGTTATCTAATTGCCAATTAACAGTCTCAGTAATCACGTTTATATACGAGTTACGTCAAGTTCTATCAATGATAATTCGATTACTTTGATGCCACGCGATAGATCGTGCATATAAGATTCATAGATCAGAGATGGGAATTAGTTGCAACTTTCGGCTTGATTTTCTGATTGACGCCTCTTGCCTCCTTCTTGCTGCTCGCATGCTAACAACGAGTCAACAAACGCGCTAACAACGCTTATAACTAAGGTATTCAGTTTCAGAAATGTCCATATCACAAATGCAACAAGATAATAAATATGGGATAAATATAGATTTCCACATCACCTATGAGGCACTATTGTTGAAGAACGCGTTAATAATAGTACCTCATAGATGATGTGGAAATCTATTGTCTCATATTTATTATCTTGTTGCACTTGTGATATGGACATTCCTGAGGGTGAGTATCGCGCACCTTAGTTACGGGCGTTGTTAGCGCGTTTGGTGACTCCTTACTAGAATGTGAGCGGCAAAGAGTAGACGTCAATCAGAAAATCGAACCGAAAGTTGCAATTAATTCCCATCTGTGTAATAGATGAAAGATGATAGATCAATCATTAAGATACAAATAAAATAATTTAAAAATATAATGTAATATATTATCTCATTTTCTTATTGCATGCGTTCAATTTTAAATGTTGTATGTTTAGCAAATGTTTTCGTTGGCGTTGTACTTGGAATTCGAAAATGTACCTATCAATAACTCTCGTCGAGAAAGAAGCGTCGGCTGCTAAATTTGTTCGCAGGTTAAAATTGATTAGTATTCTTTACACGCTAACGTCAAAATAACGTCGATGAAACATCGAATAATGTTGATCACTGTTTACTAATTTCTTCCTATCACATAGTTAAAAGTTCAATTCAGGGGGAAATATTTATCGGCTAATTAGAACGGAAGCTATTGTTGCAATGATTCGAGGAAATCGTTAATGAAGACTCACCCAGAGCGCAAAATGCAAGGAGAATTCGAAAGATGAGCTTCTTCATGTTGCGAAAACAGCCGATAGTGTCAGCGTGTAAACCTCGATCTCGACGGCACATAAAATCGGGATAAAAAGAACGGAGAAATGATTTACGTCAAGCACACGTTCTTATCTATATTTAGAGCGCACTGCAATAATAGCACCGGCTGTACTCAAGAAGGGCACTGGAGAACGATGGAGAAGACTCTGTTCCAGCACCGAGAGCAATGGTACTCTTTCGGTCTTGTTGATATCAGCTGTTTTGTGCTGGAAGACGCTTAGTCGACGAAACCGTGAACGGCTCTCGCTAACGTAATTTGTCCCGCGAACTTTCCTTTTTTTCAAATATTTCGTTGATCAAATTAAATCGCTGTAATATTTATTCTGTCCACTCTGTACAAAGTTTGATTTTGCGCGGGAAACGTTTTGCGCTCTCGTTTGTTGAGCGCGATCGTGCGCGAGATCCCTCGACAGAGAATGAGAAATCGGAAATCTGCGTGGAACGACGAGTTTAGAAACATTTGCGGCCAAATGTTATCCGCGCTGCGGTCACTTGGTGTGAACGCTATTGAAAGCGCGACACGAGGGAGACTGATCTCGTGCTAACTCTAATTCTCTGTTTCTCCCATCCTCCTCCACTTCTTCTTGCTAGACTACCTCCTACAAAGACATCGGTTGCCGAAGGTGGGAGTGCCTCGTTGAAAATTTACGATATTTTTGTATAGTCGTGGTATCACCACGTGAAGTAGAAATCGGGAATGCGGCGCGAAACGTGTGTACTGATCAAGCGTGTCACGTAATTCAGTGATATAGAGAACTTTTTTCGTAAATTAAAAGCAAATAGCTCAAAATTTTTCAAGAATTTGTAGAATATTTAACTTATTATTGTTCGCATGAGATATGAAAACATTCGTGGCAATATTCAATAAATTAATAACCAAATGAAATGTTTTTATAATAAATTACTTTAATGTGTTCTTCACGTAGTCAGACAAATATTAAACTGCAGAATAGTGCAAAAAGGAAAATGAGAAAATAAAGACAAAAATAAAAAAAAATATTACAATTTGATTGTAATTGTAATTGGGTATGTATGTCATCACAAAATCGTATAGCTATTTATATGATAAATAAGTAATTGTACTCACAAGGCACACAGGATATTGAGGATAGATTGCTCACAAAGTACACAGGATAGATTGCTTCATTCGCTGCTTCTGCTTTAGAACTGTTCCAATTCCAGTGAAGAATAAATATTTGAAACACGAACTTTTGTTAGTTAAACGCACTGCTAAACGAAGATTGATCCGCATTCTTTATTTACGCGAGGATAGATTTATGTTGCAAAAATTTTACCGCAACGCGGTTTTATGTACACGATTGACTCTGCACTCAAAGTGAGCAAAATAAATAAAAATGACCTTGGCGGTCATATGGATGTGGCGAGATACGAACGCCGCGGTGCACAACACAATTATGTTCCATTCGCTTTAATTCTAGCGAATAGAAATTTACAACATGCTACACAACAAAAATACCGCGCGTCTGTGAATATTTATAACATTGGGATTTGTGTGTGTGTGTATAACCTATATACTTCGATCCAAGGTGTAGCGATCGTCGAAATGCGAACATTTGCGGTAAATAAATGCATTCCGGTAATCGCCCATTACTTTTATCGGCACTCCCGACAAAAAATTTACACTTATTAGGCATTTTTAATGAGAAAAATAGACAATTTATCGAGAAGTCCGTTACTCAAACTCCGAGGAGACGCGGCATAACATCAGACTATCATGACAATTATAATGTCTGAATGTAGACGCGGTACACGCAGAATGCAGAGCGTTTTATACACATAAACATGTATGCATTATGTACGCGGGTTCTTGATCATTTCGTGTGAATCGTGCAGTGAGCCGCATCTGCAATCTGGCAGCACTGGGTAGCACTAATAGCAGCTAGATAAAATCGATATATCGATCGCATAGAGAAAAATCGATATATCGATACATCGATAATTCGCACGCATTTCACTTCACTTGGCGTACACTTAAAATGGAGAACGCAAACGTTAGGTGACCAATCGTGTATTTTACTCGGTAAACGTGTAACAAATGCAATTTTGTATCGGAAGTGTCGATTAAAGTGACGAGCGATTACTGGAGTGTATTTTTCATTTGTAGCATGCTGAATAGTATCAGTTCGTCAAAATTAAATTGGGTAAAACACGGTTATTGTTTTGTGTATGTGCGACATGTGATTCTTACAAGTGAAAACAAAAGTTTCTTTTACAAGTGAAATATATAGAAGTGAAGTGAAGTAAAGTGTCAACTTTCTGATGAGAAAAATGTAAGGATCTTTGGATTTGCTTCAGAGATGATATGGAATAACTGAAGCAAAATCTGCAACAAACGGAGCAGACTTCAATACCCTAGCTAGTGCGTACAATTATTTGTTCATTATTATCTTCATTATTGAAATATATACATATATGCAATAGTATAAATATAAACAGTTGCATCTTATACTTATTAAATATTTATTAAGATATTTAAAAATATTTATTAAGTATTCATTAATATTTTGAAATAATTATTTACACAATTTATATTTTGATTAAAATAGAAATAATTACATAAATAATTAAACACACAATGTATAATATTTCATTATAACTAAAATATACATTAATTTCTTTAGGTACAGCTAAGAGCGTACTTAGATAGGGTACAACGACCGGTGAGTGAATTCCTTCATTATAATAATTATAATAATAATACTTGCATAATTATGCAAAACATTTATCTCGCTTGCATTTATCGCAGTGTGGAAAATTCACGCCGCGGCACACGATGAATCTTGTCATTTCTGAAACTAAAATAAGATTTAGAAGGGTTTAAAAAGTGCACAGTATATGCAATATAACGTATTATCAATATTTATTTATTTCACTGATCATGACAAAGTAATAATCACGTAAAGCTGTTAAAAGTAAAACCCCGTTATCACTAGATTGTGTACTGTATATTTACATGTTTAGTTTGCATCCGTCAAAACTTTATGTGACATATTTCTTCTCCAACGTTATATATATTATGTATATTTCTTTTGTGGCGCGCAGTTCTCGCTCACATCGTACAAAGATCAGGCGAGTAAAGCTAAGGTTTAGTTTTTGTTCTCTTCCGTTCTCTCGCATCATCACCTCTCTAAATAAACAAACTGTAAGCGCCGTCGCGGCCATTGCCGTAAGAAAAGATTATTGTACCCAAAACCCCATTCAGTGAAGTGTAGTCCAAGTAAAATACTCTAGTTAACAATAAATTATTAAATATCTATTCACAGATGTATGTATAGGCTATCATTATTACTATCATCATTGGTGGACATCAGTGTTACTGAACACTGTTATCCACACAGTTATTTCAATGCCGTTATCGCTATTGTTACATACACACGGCCTAGGGTTTACTCTATTTGTGTATTTTCAATGGAAATCGGAAGTTTATGAGATTTTATGGTGAGCTTTCCTAATGGTGCAATTGAGGTTTGTGGAAAGATAGCCGCCTTTTCATATCGTATATAAATGCTAGCATCCGCGATTTTATTTTATCGTAAGTAATTGTCAATAAACAGGAAAGTTTACCATAAAATTTCGCTGATTTTTTGATACTTCAT